ATATTTTACAATATCTACTAAACTATATTCCATCATTTTTAGATATTTATATGAATCATGCTTTTTAGTGCTATTCCTTTTTTTAAAAAATCCCAGTACCTTTTTTAGTGGTACTGGGATTGAACTCACTCAGGACCTTGAGCTTGCTAGGCAAGCACTCTACCATTTCAACCTTGCCCATTTCAATCAAACCATTTTAGTTTGATTTTCAGATTGGATTTGGACATTTTGCCTGAGAAGGCGTAGGGTAGCAAGTAGCAAGTAGCTGGGATTATAAGATCTCTCATCTGAAGATTCACATCTGAATTATTTTGAGATACGGTCTCCCTAAATTTTGTTTTGTTTTGCCCCAGCTGTCCTTGAACTGACAGTCACTGGTATTAAACACCGAGCTCATTATCTTTAGACAAATAACAAAAGTAATATTCTAGGGCCAGAACTATTAGCATGTAGACAGGAATGAAGAAAGGCCCAAGATTACTTCCCTTGCAGGGAGAGGGGACAAACAATAAAACCCTAATGACTTGGGACCAAAAATTGACATAATAGGCTAGACCTAGGCTGATGATTAAGGCAATAGTACAATATCCTATCCATACTTTCCACTACCTATGTCAAGGTTAAACTTGAAAGGACAAAGAGGATCAAATCCACAAGTATATGCCTTCCCACATCTGGGCAGCCCATGTGTAGCCACAAAACCATACAAGAAGGACCCTCAGTTTCATACAAATCAGTTGGCCTACTCTATTGGACAAAACCCCAAACCCTAATAGCATTTCTGTATTCACCTGTCTCTTATCTTTGAGGCATACTGTCTCTGTTTAGACAGATACTTTATCCAGCTTTATCCATCTAATACCTCAAAGAGATGAACTTATGTTTTGCTAATAAATCATTGTTTACTACCTTCCTACTCTTTTGGGGTCTGTTGATGTGTGTTTCTTTATTTGTTTTACTGTCCCTAGGGCAGCATGCATCTTATATGTAATACCTAAGGACTGAGGAGACATCTCAAACTCCCCATCCACCAAAAACAGAACTATAAATTTCTGCTACCTATTAGCATGAGATATTTTAGAATGACTGGGCAATGTCCCCAACCCTTAGTTTCCTCAGCACCTCAGCTACCTTGACCATTGACATATTATGAAACTCCACATTTCATTGAGCTAGAGAAGTCAAAAGATAGCTTATGGAACATTTTCTCATGTTTATTAACATTTACATGTTCATCTCTAAATATTATTGCAAACCTTCTTCCATATACAACTACATTCGAATTTGTAGTAGATTGAAAAAGTAATACATATTCTTATTTTCACTTATTCATTTACTCTTTAACATCACATTTATTAGTGCATGGGTGGTAACAAAACAATCTATAAAATGATTAATTTATCAATTTATCCACTAAATAAATACTGAATGACAACTTGGTAATAGTTACTTTCTTATTAGTGTGAGAACTAGAGCATTTAATATGGCACACTCATTTTCTTACCAAAATAGAATCCAGAAGAGAAGAGAGAATAATAATGCAAACTTTTGTTCCATCTTTACAATGGGACATGTAATGATGAAATAATGAATAAAGGGATGCAGATTTATTTAAAGGCATTAACAGCAAAGTTATTAGAAATGGCAATTCTTATTCTTTGTCTTTGAGAATGTTTACTAAATTAGAGGGAAAATATTCTAAACACAATAACAGACATATGTAGAGGTAGGGCAAGAATAATGTACCATGGTAAATTGACAAAAGTTTCAATATTATTTTCATAATTAGGATTAGTGAATCTGGGGATCTCTACTGAGACAGCAGCAATGATGACTAATTAAGGAGAAGCAACTTATTTGAAGGGTATTTGTAAGAGAAAAAATGTCAACAAGATATAATTAATTAAAATTTGGAGAAGATAAGGTATGAATCTAGGCTGACTTGTCTTGAAACTTGACTCTACATGTTTTTCTTGCTTGCATTTTATCAAGAAAACATAAATATAATCATAGAAAATGGATGTAATGACAATGGTGATGATAATGTAAGAACATTGGGATTAAGAATCCTGAAGGACATTTTGAGGGGTAAGATGTAATGTGCTCAAATGTCCAATGAAAATATGTTCTCTTGGTTAATTTGAAGAATAATGTGTGGTAAAAAAAGAACTTGTCTAGAATTCAGAGTGTTCAATAATGAAGCCTAATGCAAATGTATGCATTCCCTCCAATATATCCTTCCCTTGGTATTGACAGAGTTCTTGTCTGTAGACTCATCACAGGCACAAAAGTCCATCAATATTCAATCTCTTATATAAATTGACATCATATTTGCATAAAACCTATGTTTAGCTTGCCAAATACTTCAGAAATTTACTTTCAATATTTCTTACAATTACTTATACCTAATTTTATGTAAATAGTTGCTATCCTCTAATTTTATTTGTATTATTTTTATTGGTGTATTCTTTTTTATTGTTTCTTTTTCTTACATTATGAATCTGTGGTTGACTGAATCCTTAAATGGAACCTATATGTAAAGGCTGACTATATTGTTGTGTTCTATACATATATATCATGATACAAATAAACTAATAAATTTGACACAATAATTAACAACAGCAAATAATAAAATAGAACTATCTGTCTCTTACTCTACTTTTTCTCTCCCTCAAAATTTCTTATGTGTTGTATTTTTCTTGCCCTTCTTGTTGATGTAGTGTAACTAAAATCACAGAAAACAAAACCACAGATAGCAGGGGAGACTGCTAAGCAAACTCTACCACCATGATATGGATTACTTTGTCAAATATAAAAAACCCTAAGTGATTCAATATCAATAAATGGATAGTTTTAGAATGAATGCAGATTTAAATTTGATTGTGTATGTTTAGGAGATATCATTCATAAAGCAAATTTGCTTTAACTTATCTTTTTATATAGTAGGTAAATTTGTTAAACTTTAAGACAAATTCCACAGGCTGTTTTAGATTTTAACAATTAAGATTTATTGCTACAAGTTCTTTTTAAAAACAATTTATTATTATTTGATAAACAGCCTTTTCATAAGCTCAAAATCATTGCTTGCTACATGTAATAAATGTGTTAGTTAGCCAAGGCTACTTTTGTTCTCATCAACTCTAGGAATAGCTATGTTCCTATACTGAGTTTTTAATGTACCCTCAAGTAAGCGAAACAATAAATGCCAACTAAAATAATGCCTGAATAAATGCAATATAGGCTTATAAGCATATTTTCTTCCAAAAAATAAAACAGCATTTTGAAAGGCAGTCCTATTTCATGGAAGTTTTTTTAAATCCTGATTTTAGAGAATTCCAGTGTACTCTAATATAATAGAAGACATTTCTGTTTTTATTTTAGTAATTCTATCAAATTGATAGATACACAAATACCATAAGAAGAAACCTTCTCTGACTATGAAATTATTTTCAAATCAAATATTCAAATTTTCAGTTCTCAGTAAAAGATGGAATACCAAATACATACAAAAAATTCTACTTGTTAATATGAAATGGAAGGAGACCTATATACAAATGTGTTAGTTTTATGCCTTTGAATTCTAGCTGAAAGACTTTGATGTCTGATGTATAGTAAGTTTTCAATTCCCTAGATCCATTGTTTTCTCCTCCATAAAACTGCTTGCTTCATTCCAATCACTGTCTAAATAATTCTCCTCTGTTGTATGTGTGTGTGTATTGGATAATTTGTGTTATTGTCCACCTACTGGTTCTTTGATATTTTTTAAAATTTTATCATTTTTACATTTATTAACATGCATATACATTGTTTTATGCTCTCCCTCCCCCAGGCAACACCTGTCCTGTCCTTTTGTTCTCCAGTTTTGTTGAAGAGAAAACATAAGAGATAATAAGAAAGACACAGTGATTTTCTATTTTGGTATAAAGATAGCTATACAGAGAGATTCCTTGCATTGATTCTGTGCACATGTGTATTGCAACCCACATTGGTTCATCTCTGTCAGATCTCTTTGCTACTTCCTGGTCCCCTTTCCATGGTAGCCTCTGCCAGTTTAAAATTACTATATTCTTTCCTCTACAGTGAGCACGTCAACCACATTCAAGATTTAGATTTCTTTCCCTTTCCCTAGTCCTCCAGTGTGACCCATGTTCAATAATATTACCACATTTGTTCTAGGTCTCTACTCCACATATGAGAGAGAACATGTGACTTTTGGGCTTCTGAGCCTCTTTATGAGAATTGGATATCATATCTTATAACTCATTAGTCTATAGAAAGTGCTTTCAACTTGTTACACAGAAAGTAAGATTTTTCAAAATGATAATTTGGGAATTGAAAGGAACAAATTATACATCAGGAATATAAAAATATTTTTAATAGAAGACATTTGAAATTCAATGGATACAAAAAGAAGCTTTTTCAGAACTTTCTTTATCTGACTAAAAACAGAAGTTTCCTAAAGTGCTGCTGCCATAAATCATTTCTCCAGGGGTGCTTCATTCCAGGAAGGAGAGAAGAAGAAAAAATGACAATAAATCCCCAAGGAAGAACACAGATGATCCCAGTTTCACCAGCATAAAACAAGCATGACTAACTTTCTTATCTTCCATTTGTTCCATTAAGAGCCCATTTTTTTCTTCCCATAAAAACTTTTCTCCTATCTCCCTCTGAATTTGGTGTATAGACCTCTGTCTCTAATTATCGAGCCATCTGAATCTTTTGTGCTTTTCTGTTTAAATGTAAGTTTACTTTGCTTTTTCTCTTATTGTATGGGTTAGTTCACAGGATTCCAAACAGTGAGCCTAAGAGGATAAATGAAAATATTTCCATATGAATATGAAATCTTGCATGTTACTGAAAGTTCATAATGAATGCCTCCTTCAAGCAAAAAATGCTTTTATACCTTCCCTGCCTCACAGGTCCTCTGAGTATTTAACTATGTACCAGGCTGCAGCATTGATAAATATTCCTTAAAAGTGTTTCTGCCTAGAAATTCCTATTCAGGAAGTGACTATTTTTCTCTGAATTATTCTTTTAATGGCTTCTTTGACTTTTCTGTTTCTTACCCCATATATCAGAAGATTTAATATTGGTAGCAAAAGGGTATAGAACATAGAAAATATTTTGGCTCTATTCTGTAGGTAGCTAGAGCTGGTTCCCAGATAGGTAGTTATCACTGTTACATAGAAAAGAATTACTACTGTTAAGTGGCAGGCACATGTGGATAAGGTTTTATATATGCCTGTCATAGAGTGTACTTTCAAGACAGTGAGAAGAACTTCCAAATAGGAACTAATTACTATTGACAAGGTAGTCACTGATGTTGCTACAGAGAGGAAAGTGAATAAAATCTCACTGTGGTGGGTGTCAGAGCATGGGAGTTGAAAGAGCAATGTAATGTCACAGAATTAATGGTTAATGAGATTGGGCCCACAGAAGGACAGGTGGAGCAAGTTACTCAGATGGGTAAGTGAGTTGCTACAACCCAACAGGTAAGAGGCAGTTACTAGGTAGATACAAAATATGGGGGTCATAAGCCCTCTATACTGAAGTGGGCGGCAAACAGCAAGGTATTGATCATATGCCATTGCAGCCAGGAGGAAGCATTCTGTAGTCAGGAACATGTTGACAAAGGAGTACTGTACGAGGCAACCATGATAGGAGATGACTTTATGTCCTACCATGAAGGTCACCAGCATTTTAAGAATGAAGACTGAGGAATAGCAGAACTCCAAGAAAGCCAACTGACTAAGGAAAAAGTACTTGGGAGAATGAAGCTGGACATTAGCCACAATTATCATGATAACCCCAAAATTGCCAACCACAGTAATGACATAGATTAACAGAAGTAACACAAAGAGGCCAAGATTCAGTTCAGGGTTGTCAGTTATCAAACTGACATTCCTGTCAGCCATTTATCTTGCTCCCCTACAAGGTGTCTGCAGGGAACAAAGGGAAAGATAAAATAACCAAAGCATACAACTTGAATACATAATTTCAATCTACTAACATCTTTAGATAGATTAACTAACATCTTTAGTAGATTAGACAGGCATTACTGTGCTAATAATAATCAATAATAAACTCAAATTTTCCAAGTATGAAAACTTAGCTTGGAAACTTTTATTGGTTCTCATCAAATGATATAAATTGGTACTATGCACAATCCCGTCTGAGAGCCCTAATAAGAATATTTAGTAGAGAGAGTCTGGGAAACTGATCCTGGGTAAGGGAGTATGCCAGGTTCTAGAACGAAAGGCAAGAATTTTCATGTTCTAATGAAAAGCATCCTTTAACCATAAACAAAATAAGCAAACCCAAACGAAAAAAATCAGTATTTAACAGGGAGATTTTTGAGACACTTAGCAAAAGTATTCCTATGATGTTTAGACAAGTAATAAGAAGATTATATATTGAATACATGTATGTGCACATGTTTACATATGCATATTCACATGTAATATCATACATTAAAACTTAGAGTGTATGCATGAGAAAAGGAAAATGAATTAGCACTGTCTGGGATATAAAATGGAAACACTTTCTATCGTAATAAATTTTTTTTAATGCTAGCTTATTCCAGGAGGTCATTGTTGCAACTCCAAACAAAAGTTATCATTTCATTTTTAATTTACTACAGCATTTATCATGCAATGTTAGAATTTGCCCATATCAAATATTTTTCATGATTATGGAGTCAGAAAACTGTTTAAATATGTTTTAATCACTAAAATCAAAGTCTCAAATCTAATTTTATGGACAGTGCACATGCTGCCACCACATCCAGTCATACAGATCTGGCTTTCTTATTCAAGGAAAGCTAGATCATTTAATAAAGTGTATTTTAGGCTTTATCATATAACCCAAAATACATAAAAAGTAAGGGACTGATATATAATATATTTGGAAAGCACTTGATTAAATAATGTTTAATGGAATCTTTCTTTACTACTGGACTTTTGGGGATGCATAATATGCCACTGTGGTTTAGCATTTTCTCAAGTGGATATAGTAAGAACTACAGAAGAAAAAACGTGAAAAATGTCATGTAATACAGACTTCCAAATCTTCATTGCCTATTCAAAATAAAAAAAAGTGATAATCTGTTCACATATCTGACAATGCTTTCTCATGAAGCTAACTTTTATAGTTTTATCTTTTTGGATGTAATTATATTTAGCTGGCTTTCGATTTCATTGATTTCATAATTGCTTCTTTAATTTATCTAATAATAGCAATCTTCATCTGGGCTACCTTTCATTTCCTGTTTTTCTCTTGCTATAAAATCAGTTATAATGCAACAAATTAATATTCAAGTCTAAAAGTTATCTCTGATAATGAGCAAAACGCTGCTACTCTTCTCAGATTAATAAAAATTCAACATTTAGTAACGATCATTCTTACATTTCAAGATATTTATTTAAATAAATTCTGTCTTGTAACTTACTAAAAAACAGAAAGCTCTAATTATAGGTTTTTGAGGAAATGTGGAATAAACCTGCATTGTAGTTTAAGAAATCCATATAACACCAGCAGTGGGCTAATTCCTTTTTTTCCTCAATTCAATAATTTGCATGAATTTGAATCAAATGATTTTTCTTCACATTATATTCATTTCATGTACTGAGAAGAAGAAATGTATAAATCCTTTGCTAGGAAATATAATTAGGATACCTACCTGCTGTTGAGAAGTCCTAGTCTTTGTCTTTTAGTTTCCTGACTGTTGGGTTTATATTTGGCTTCGGAGACTTTGGAAGATGCAATACCCAGTGCATTGTGAACACTGGGTTTCATTAAAACAGCCATGTAGCACTGAGGAAATTAAATCACTAGCACTCTTTCCAAAGTGTAATAATTCATATACTCAACCTTTTCTCAGCTAGACAGAAAAATTATCACAGGTGTTTTTGACTTGCCTATATGATACTAATCAAGGAAAAACTGAAATGTTATAAGTTATGCTTACAATGATAACATTATTTAACCATGTGCACATGTTATATATAATATATACTATTTTCAATTCCTAAATTCTATTTATTGATGAGTATTTGATTCCATGAATATAACCATAGTAATTAAGAAAAATACATTCGTGTTTCAAACGTGGGACAACCCAAAAAAATGTGGAAGCAATTTCTAAGCAGAATTTCAAGTGTGTGTGTGTGTGTGTGTGTGTGTGCGCACGCATGCCTGTGCGTCTGGGTGTACTTTCATAGGCTAGATCACTTTTAAATATCATGAATAATTTAGGTAAGTAGGACCAGAATGTTGACCAGGCAGATAATTGGAGAACAGAATAGAAAAGTGATAAATGCAGGGTAAATGCATCAGCTAAATGTTATAAAAAGGCAAATAATGAGAATAATTAAGTCACTAGTATAAGTCATATACAACAAAACCAGGAAAATCAACTGTAGCTAAACATGATGGGGAAAACCTGTAGTGATTTTATAAAGAAGCAGAAGGGAAAGTGGAGGAACAAATAGTTTTATTAACACATGGTGAATATTAGAGTGCACTTTGTCAAAATGGCGATTTCCTTTTCTTTGGAATGCTAAGAAGGATTTTAGTTGGAATGATTTGTCTTTATTAAGTGCTTAATTTTTTCCAGGCACTTCATCAGTATTATGTTCAGTCATTATAAATTTTATTTCCTAAACATTCTGACTCACTTTGCAGTGGCCCAGGGCAATTAAAGAAATGTCCAAACTTTTACATAAAAATTATCTTAGAATGTTCTAGCAAAAATAGAACACTTGAGATTTTTAAGAATGATAAATAATAATACATACATTCTCAGAGAAATCCCTAAGAAGAGAGGAATGGCTTTCTTAAAATCAAAAAAAGTGTCATTAATTAATTTAGTCAGAGCATTTTTTGCAGTGTATTCCATCCTACGTTATAATTTAGATGGCATGAGTACATGATCTTCAGTTGTTTTTGATTTTGGGTATTGTAATTGTACACAGTCCAAATTTGATGAACAGCATCTGAAAATAGCCATCATAGCTTGGATCAGTGAAATCAGTATGTGCTCACAGAGGAAGGCTCAACCCTGAATGGTGGAAAGATGAATTCAATGCATAGGCTCCTGGAGACCTGTGTAAGTGAAAAAACATGACCAAGATGCAAATGTAGCCATTACCAGTCCAGATTATACCAACGATGTATTTCCCTGATGAGTTAGGCCAAACCTCCAAATCACAAACTCCAAGCCTACACATATTAAAACATTGGCACATATTTAATAGACATTCCCTGAGGAACTAAAAGAAAGGCATGTGAGATAAATATCTCCTGGGCCCTGATTTCTCCAATTGCTGATTTTGAATGGTAACTATATTCATACATGGAGTAAAGGAATTATTGCTACAACAAGTGTCCATTCTCAGATCATTTTTCTTGATATTTTATATGTCAGATATTCCATTGATGGAGACCTCATTTTATTTCCTCTTGAAAAATTATACCAACCATGTCAGAACACTTGGAATATGCTTAACCAAATTTCATTTACTTTCAAAAAATGTCAAGATTATAATAAAATTATAATTGACACTATACAGTATATAAATGATACTATATGCAAATATGTGTGACACGGCATGTACATACATGATAATATATAATATATATTATGATGTAGTTTTACTTTAAAAGTAGGAACATTTTGTTCTTTTTCCAACTTGCCTCATAAAAATCATCACCAGACTCTACAGTTTCCATCAGAATTCTACAAAAGTAATTTTTTCTCATGGAACAGCTAATTTTTTATTTAGTTTTTGTTCATAGTATAATATTGTAACTATTTGTGAGCTTTAGTGCTCATAATCTTAGGACACAAATATTTTTCCTAAGAAGTATCATTTCCTTTCAAATATACGTCCTTAGGGAACTGAGTGTCTTCACCCAGGGAGACAAGTCCACCTTTTATGGGTTTTTTATTGTAAAAGATTTCATAAGTAGTTCTGCTTATTGCTCTCATTATCAATTATCTTGCCTGCATCACATTTCTTATGTTTCATGCTCTAGGATATTATATTGAATGCTCTTGGAGATTTGTAAGAACACAAAATTAGGTTTAATTATGATCACCTTAGTTTTTTGGCTTAAAAATTAAAACGTTCGCATTAATGCACTTATATGGATGTCTTTTTATGCAAAATATCAAATATGTTTATTAAAACTTAATAAACCTAATATTAAGCAAAACACTTGTATCTCTTTTGGGGACACATGCTGTATTAATTAGCAAGAAAAATGTTTTTTGTCTATAAACTTTTCATGGCATCCGTCACTTCCTTGTCCTTAAGCTGTAGATCAATGGATTTAACATCGGAATCACGAGGGTATAAAATACAGAAACCACCTTTTTCTTGTTCTAAG